TCACATCCAACATGGAATCCAAAGAGGAGAGAATATCCCTCATGAGAGATTTCTCTTCCATTTGGAGATATAAATTACGATGACTTTAATATCCAAAGAGAAAATAAAACACCCCTTCGGGGAGGAGTTTCTTTTCATTTGATCATCTGGACCCAATGAATCCAAGAAACTTGCAAAAAGATGAAGAAGTGAAGATAGGGGATTATACCACTCAAAGTCACTTGCGTCAATCTTAGGAGTGGAATATGGGTTGTTATTAGTGGCACCCGATCGCTTTTAACTTATGTAGACCCTGAATATTAAATAAATGGCATTTGTCAATGGACATTTAATTTATTGATTAATTTATATTGATTGTGCTTAAAACTTTCCTGTTTTTAGGCTTCTTTATTGCATTTTGTGTTTTGATTTAGCTTGGATACATTCAGAGGCTTATGAGGGTATGTGCAAATAAAACCTTTTTTACGTAAAATTAAAAAAAAAATCTCACATAGAAATTCTAATGACTTAATTAGTAAGCTTGGGACTTCCAAGAGTTTACATATGCATATTAATACCTTATCCTCTTCATTAGGTGCCTTCCTGCCTATGGGTTCTAACATACCACCTGACATATTAGGGTGTAATTGTGTCAAAAGGATGTTGTGCAATATTTAGGAAAAAATATATGTTAAAGCCTTTTTAAAAACTCTTTCATATTCATTTTATACATTTATCAAGTTAATTAACATGTATTACATCAAAAATAAATTTAAAATTGTTTAAAATTTTAATAACATTTCTCTTAAATAGAATTGATGGGGATATTATCAGAGTGATGGTGAAATTGATGGGGATATTATCAGCAGAATTCAAATTGGATGGTTAAAGTGGAGGAATGCATCGGGCTTATTGTTGTTGCTCTCTTAAAGCATGGATTTTAACCACCTAGGCGATTAGATGGTTCATGTAGCCGACCCCACGTAGTGGGACAAAGGCTTGATGTTGTTGTTGTTGTTGTTGCTCTCTTAAAGCATCAATTACCCTATATAAATGAAGGGGTTAATTACGATCTACTCTAGATGTTGGTCATGTTTCTTCAAACTTAATTAAATATTATCTCTACCTATATTTCATTAAAGAGACCGGACACATGGATTTTAACCACCTAGGCGATTAGATGGTTCTCCAATCCAGGCCAGGATAAGACCAGATTTGCACTGCATTAACTAGATTTGGACTATTCTTATTCAGTGCCCAATTTAGACGTAGGATCCTAGGCATCCCTAAAATTTTAAGCCCCCCCTTTTGGGAATATAACCCTACCATTCTAATAAATAAATAACTCAAATTAATTTTTTTTTCAATCCAAAATTTAAAGCCCAATACATAGGGTTTGACAGGGGCACTTCTGAACAGTTTTTTAATCCTAAAATGCCTCGTATTTCTCTTCATTTAACCTCCAAAAATAACTATTCAAACTTGATCCAATCTCGATTGGAATTCAAACTTCACTCCGTTGATATCACTCTTTAAAAAATCTCAAAATAAAACTTTTACCATTATTTTAATTAAGAGTTTTCATAGAAAACTTAGGTTTTCTAAGATATAATTAACTACAAGGGCTTGCGATTGTAGTAGATTTAAGAACCCAAATCTATTTTCAAAATCAATTTTTAAAACTCAATTAATTCTCTTTGGTAAAATCAACATCAAATTATAATCATTATTGTCATGTTCAAATGATTGATAGTAAATGATATTTTCTTTCCTAGGAAAGATGTATCGTTTATTAATATGACTTTGGATATGAAATTAATGATACACATTTAGGTTATGATAGTTAAACATTTTATAGAACATAATTTTTAACCTTTAGGATCATATATAGTTCTTTCTTGTATTTGACTATTATAATCGGGATGAATTTACAGTTTTATAATCTCAACCCATTAGCGAATGATAAGCTCACCTCCCGAGATGATACATCGTTCGTAATGATGTGCTCAATTTCAAAACTGAAATTCCAAAAAAATCAATTTTACCCAAAGAAATTAAATTTCAAATTGCTTTTTCAAATGTTAAACACATATAGGATTCTAAAGGTAGCCACTATAATTTCAAGTGGTGACACCTGCCACATAGCACTTTGTCTCATATAGGTTCAAGAGGTGGCTCCCATAGTATAACACTTTATTTTGTATGGAACTTAATTCCAATATTCTAGTTAGTATATTGTTATGATATTAATTGTAATAGCTCAAACTCTTAAATATTGTGATATTGTCTGTTTTGTCCAAAGAGTCTCACAGTTTTATCTTATTGGTGTAACTTCCTAAGAGGTCAACCATTCTATAATTTCTCCAATATGAGCATGCTTAACTGTAAAATTTCTTAATTAAATTTCAATCATTACACCAAAAGGCACATCGATGCTTAAGAGTTTATTTGCTTTTTACTTAAGGGGTTTCATACACCCCTTCATTTTCAAGTGAAGAGAAGAAGTTACAAAAATTAGTGCAATTACTTTATTCAAAAAAATTTTGTTCAAAGAATTCTATAAAATTTTTTTGTCATTATTAATGGAGGAAAACAAAATAACCTTTTGTAATAATATTACCTCTTCTATGCCTTTAACTTCCACTCACTTTTCAACTTTAAATATATAAGAGAATAAAAAGGAACTATGCTCAATAAGATTGAAAATGCAAGTGGAAAATTAAAAGAAAATAAAACTATACGTCATACATAAACTTACATTTTAAAATGATATATGATATATCTATAAAAAAATTGGCATAATCAACACAAATTTTAAAGAAAAAAATTAATTCATAAACTGTTGAGATTAAATTTAAAATCATATGCAATTTGATTTCAACAAACTTATATTTGAATCGAACATATCGACAAGATGAACCCAACGATACCAAACGTGGCCTAATCTAAGTTTAAATGGGATCAAATCAAATGCTTGAAGCATATTTGAAAACTTTAGATATTAATTAGATGACCAAATGATCTCCAAATTTAATATGCTATAGTTGAATTGATTAGCTTCATGATAAAAAACTAGCAAGTCTGTGATTTGCTTGAGTTTGACATCATTAAGGCTCTTAAATGTTAAATGAACCCTAAATATTTAAGAGAATAAATATGTACTAAACAATGGAGTGTTTTGAATTCTGGTTCGAATCATCAAAATGCTCATCCCTAAAAGCCTATAAATAAAGCCCTATTCTCCATGTGAAAGGAAGAGAGGAAGAGTATATAGAACTAAAGAGGTTTCTTGCATTTTCTAGCTATCCCATCTAAAGATCTGGTCTAGTTATCACCATTGACAATGACCAACATCTATAGCTATCCACGACCATCATTAGCAATCACCACCATCATCTCTAGACTCTTGACAAATCTACCATTTATAGTAGATCTTCCAACTTTGCGAGACCCCAAAGTTTTTCCCGTTTTTGTGGTTTCCATGTAAAATCTTATAGTTTCTAGCTAGAATTTTCTACATGTATGAATTTTTGTCCAAAACTAGGACATAAACTTCTACTCTATTGAAGCAAATTTTATGGTGAGTAACAATATGAAATAAACACTTGATAAACTATAATATATCAATATTTTACAACATAAAGTATCTAATGTTTATAAGACATGTCAAACATATATTCTTTAAATAAAATAATAAATAAATAAAAATATGCATGTTAAAGTAAAATGTTAAAGATAAAAATATTAGAATCACGAAGAACCAAAGACTAATAATTAAAATGCTTCTAATTTTTAATGAGATGATTGAATTATATCCTAAGAGTTAACCTATTAAAAATATCACTTTTTACAATATTATTTCTCTATTTCTTTTACAGAAGAATTAAGTTTATTATTGTATGCATAACATTTGTGACAAGACATCTGACGATGTGTGAGTGGAGGATGTGTGAGTTCCATGCCTATTACTATCCCGAGGAGAGGGTATTTCCATTATACGTATGTTTCCTTGAAGGTGGTAGTACCGAGCTCCAATGATCTTACTGTGTGTTGGTAGTTAATTATTATAGTATTAGTCATTTCATATAGCTATAGTATAACTACGTTTTATATGTATAAGATGGAGAGGAAAATCAATTACTTATTGCAAGTGAAGTTGTGATTTGACTGACATATGCCCTTCCACTTGCTTAGCGGCGGGCCAAAGCCGGCATCATTGAAGCTCTTTGACTCAGGCCAGATCCCTATGTCGGTCATGCCGACCATAACATCTGACTCAAAGGGTGCACGTGGAGCACTCAATGGAAAACCCAAGAAGTTCCATGATCTTGTGGTGTGAAGTTGTCTTTGCTTTCTTGGGAACAAAAAAATCAATTCTTCCTTGCCTGAGTTCATAAAGCATGCCAAATTTGGAAAAAAAAATAATATTTCACAAGCCTTATATTATGCAATAATAGCATTGCATTTATGGCTATTATTTTAGCAAGTTTTCAGTTGATTTATATACGTATTTATTTTACCAGATAACTTCTTTGCTTCTTCATTAGACAACATAGTGGCGAAGTGGTGTATGGAACACAGACCTGCAACAAATAATAAGAACAGGAAAATAGAAGAAGGATGGAGACGAAGAAGAAGGAGAAGAGAAACAGGGATTTCAGGGGAAGTAGGTAATACCCAGTATTGCATATATCGTCTACCTCCTTTCTACAGCCAAAATACCAGTATTATACTAAGTGTTTGTCTAGGGAAAGAACTAATACTTAAAATGAAGTAATTTGTAAAAAGAGAAAATCAGAGTAATGATAGCTAAATAACGGAAAAGGGAAAGTGGTGCCAGTAGTTCGTTATGGAGCAGGCGGTGTAGCGTCCACGGGTGCAGTATATCCCCTATCCTGTACCACATAAGGCTCCCCGGCTGTAGAAATTTCCTTGTCACAAGGAATGGATTGAACTTGACCTGAATCAGGTGGTGCGTAAGTGAAGATATCGGTCACGTTGAACGTGGACGGTGTTGCGAATTACGGCGGAAGATCAACAACATAAGCATTGTCGTTGATTCGTCGAAAAATTGGTATAGGACCAATTTTGCGCGGGCTCAATTTTGAAAAGGTACCCGGCGGTAATCTTTCCTTGCGGATGCGGACCATCACCAGATCTCCTGGATTGTATACTTTCAAGCGGCGTTTGGCGTCGGCAGTGTGTTTATAATCCTCTTTAGCGGCTTCCAATTTGAGTCTAATGTCAGCCAATAGCTTCGTATAATCTTCAGACGTCTTGACTGCTGATTTACTGCGGCATTGAGGTAGAAATGTAATGTCTACCACATGATTTAGTGTCTTTGTATATACAATACTGAAGGGGCACTGGCCGATAGAGCGATTGGCCATTGAGTTATATGCAAACTCCGCTTGGCCAAGATAGTCGTCCCACTGTTTGGGTGTTCGTGAGCTAAACACCGAAGCATACTGCCGAGTGTCCGATTGACCACTTCTGTTTGGCCATCGGATTGGGGATGATAAGCTGAACTCAGTTTAATTTCAGTTTGTAGCCGTTTCCACAATTCTTTCCAAAAATGACTAATAAATTTGACGTCGCGGTCGGACGTTATGCTCCGAGGTATCCCGTGTAAACGCATGATCTCTTTGAAGAAGAGAATAACGACATTTAAAGCATCGAATGTCTTCTTGCAGGGAAGGAAGTGAGCCATTATCCTCTTGAGAAAGCACTGCTCCAATTCCTACAGAGGAAGCATCAGTGTCCACCTGAAACGGTTTGGAGAAGTCAGGCACAGTCAGTACTGGTGCAGCGCTTAACGCTGCTTTGACGGCTTCAAAACTGCCCTGTTGTGCCGCTGTCCACTAGAAGGTTTTGCTCTTTAGATAGTCTGTGATTAGAGCTACAATGAGGCTGAACCCGCGTATGAATCGGCGATAAAAATTCGCTAGACCAATGAAGCTCCGCACCTCGGTTACTGAACGCGGAATAGGTCACTGAGTGATGGCCGATACTTTCTGTGCATCCATATGAATGCCCCTGCTGGATATGACAAATCCTAGGAAATGTACAGATCCTATTGCAAACTCACATTTAGGGAGATTAATGTAGAGCTTATGAGTTCTCAAAATTTCAAAAATAGAAGTGAGATGCTGTAAATGAGCTTGGAGTGTAGAACTGAATATGAGAATGTCGTCAAAGTAGACGACGCAATATTTTCCCAGAGCAGGCCAGAGGATCTCGTTCATTAATCTCATAAACGTAGCCGGTGCGTTGCAGAGACCGAAGGGCATGATGCGCCATTCAAATAAGCCATCCCGAGTCTTGAACGCTATCTTCCACTCGTCACCGGGCCTGATACGTATCTGGTGGTAGCCACTCCTAAGATCCAGCTTGGAGAAGATGGCGGCTCCCACCAATTTGTCCAGCATGTCTTCAAGACGAGGTACGGGAAACTGATACTTCACTGTAATTTTTTTGATAGCCCGGCTATCAATACATAGCCTCCAGCTACCATCTTTCTTTGGTAATAGTAAAGCCGGTACAGCACAAGGACTCATACTAGGTTGGATTAGCTTCTTATGCAGTAATTCATCAATGATTTTCCTTAAGGCCGTGTGCTCTTGTGGGCTCATTTTGTAATGTGGAAGATTAGGAAGTGTCGCTCCCGGTTGAAAATCAATCTGATGTTGCAGCTCTCTCAGAGGAGGAAGAGAATCAGGTAATTCGGTAGGCCAAACGTCAGTGAATCGCTGCAGGATGTCCTGGACCTCGGATGGAACACTAGTTGGTACTGGATCAGGTCTTGCTGCTCCGGCTATAAGTGCAAACATGGGTGAATTCTCTTGCCAAGAGTGTATAAGGCTGGTTCCCGACACAATATACATGGCTGCAGGATCAGTATGGTCCTTATCCGAAGAGTTAGGAGTTTGCGGCAGCAAGACAATCTTCCGATTCGTCCATTCGAATGAATAAGTATTATTCCGGCCATCATGGACAGCCCCCACATCAAACTGCCAAGGCCGTCCTAGGATAAGGTGGCAAATGTCCATCTCAAGGACGTCGCATAATACTTCACAGACATTATTCTTGCCTATGGAGAATGCGAGTCTACACATTTCGGACACAAGTATCTCAACACCCTTCTTGACCCAGCTTATTTTGTACGGATGAGGATTCTTCGTCGTCTTCAGTTGCAACTTTTGCACTACTAATCTGGACACAATATTTTCCGTGCAACCACTGTCAATCAACATATTGCAAACCTTTCCGCTGATGGTGCAACAAGTGCAGAAAATGGAATGGCGTTGAGAGGTATTGTTCTGTCTAGGTGCTAGCAATAGCTTCTCCAAAACGCAAGCTACCGTCTCGCCTTCATCTGTTTGGAGAAATTCATGTTCCTGATCATTTGCATTGTCGCCGGGTGGGAGTTCAGCATCATCCTCCAGCTCTCCTTCCATCAGCTGAAGTTGTTGGCGATTCGGACACTCGTTCGATTTGTGTCCGGGTTGAAAACAACGGTAGCATTTGAGCGTTGTTGGTTTGGTGTCTTTCACGGCGGTTTTCGGGCTAGGCAAAGATTTCGGTTCAGCCCCTAAGATTCCTGTACCACTTGGCGATGGGGCTAGAGATTTATTTGGGCCAGCAGCCAGTTGAGGCGTCACAGCTTCAGAATTATACCGGCGATGGTAATTGCTCTTGGGGTGTCGGTTGAGTTGTAATTCGACTTTCAGAGCGTAATTGACTGCTTGGGATAATGACCAAACCGCATTTAATTCAAGCTTATCTTGAATAATCTCTTTCAATCCTCCAATGTAGCATGCTACAAGTTGATTGTCCGTCTCGTTCAAGTTGTTTCGAGCACTCAGCCTGTAAAACTCTTCTGTGTATTCATTCACTGTTCGATTGCCCTGCACGCAATGTTGGTACTGGAGGTAAAGCATTTGTTCGAAATCAGTGGGCAAGAAATGTCCTCGCAGCAATCTCTTCATCTGATACCAGCTCGTAATCAGACCTTTACCTTCTCGCCGCCGTCTTTGTAACAATTGCATCCACCACGCTCCGGCCCCTGCTTTTAATCGGCAAGCGACGTACTTCACCTGTTTATCCGGAGCTATTTCCATGTAGTCCAGAAAAGATTCCACTGCTCGCTCCCAATCGAGGTAATTTTCGATGTGCAATCGACCATCGAAGAAGGGAATGTCTAACTTCACTCGGAATTCCCCATGTTGACGGTGCTGTGCTTGTGGTCGTCTGGGCCGATCATAATAAGCGGGTGGATCTTCTTCAGCTGAATCAGACACTTCAAATGGCTGAGGACGTTCCATTTCGAACTCCGAATCGGAGGCTATCGGTCGTGTAGGTGGCGTAAATCGTTGGCGATGGAATCGTGGTACCGGTATGGTTGCCGGCGCACCAGGGCGTCCCATAGCTGGAATGGATGGATTCGTCCGAAGGGATCGAATCTCATTACGCATTTCAGTGGAAAATCAGAAAAACTCAGCAGTGAGTGTTTCTAATTGTCATGAAATGCTCGTCTGTGTAGTCCACAAAGCGTCCAAACTCCGGTCGTCGACTGGAACTGTCTGCTTGCTGCCTTCCGCCATCGAAGCTCGTAGCTGAGCTCTGATACCAGTTGGTGTATGGAACACAGACCTGCAACAAATAATAAGAACAGGAAAATAGAAGAAGGATGGAGACGAAGAAGAAGGAGAAGAGAAATAGGGATTTCAGGGGAAGTAGGTAATACCCAGTATTGCATATATCGTCTACCTCCTTTCTACAGCCAAAATACCAGTATTATACTAAGTGTTTGTCTAGGGAAAGAACTAATACTTAAAATGCAGTAATTTGTAAAAAGAGAAAATCAGAGTAATGATAGCTAAATAACGGAAAAGGGAAAGTGGTGCCAATAGTTCGTTATGGAGCAGGCGGTGTAGCGTCCACGGGTGCAGTATATCCCCTATCCTGTACCACATCACGAAGCCATGAAAACTCTTTGCGAAACTATATATAAGTCGGTTTGACGCTTCCTAGTTGTTGTAGTAAGCATTATTTTTAATGAAAAATACATATTTATATATAAGCAAAAAAAAAGATATTAGATAGATCATCTTAATCCAATTGTTTTCTGGAGCCGTTCTGAGTGAGCTAATAGTGGCAGGCCAATGAATTCTCTTGGCTTTTCTCCCATATACACGATGTAAGGCTGTTGATTGTTCACAATAATAAATTGCATACAATTGTGGTAAATAAAAGAAATATATACTATGAAATGAATATTGCAGTCATACTCTTTGGTTGGGCTTTGTGGTCTCCGCATGGCCACTGAGAGCCTTCATTGCAAGCATTAGGACAAGAAACGAAGACAACAAAGGGAACAAGTGCCGGTCAAGGGTGATAGGTTTATATAGGTGTTTTGGTGTAAGGAATCATATTTATTAACAAAGATAAATGTTTTTTTTTCATGAAAACAAAAATATTATTGTATTTTCTCTGTTTAGATTATTGTAATGGAAAAGGTGGTGTTCATTATTATCCATATATTTTATAAATCCAAAGTTTTTAAAATAATAGTGGAGGCCTGTTATTAATAACTCTTTTTTGGAGTATTTAGATGAAAGGAATGTGGATAGAATGAGAAGAATTTTTAACTAATAGTGGAGGCCTGTTGCTGGTTTTTTTTTTTTTTTTAGTATTTAGACGAATGGAAGATGTATCTGCCGAGCCACGGCTTGATCCGCCTATTAATAATAACCCAAATGCAATCATTAGTGGTGTTGTCTTCTAAACTTGTCAGCTTTGTGTATTTAAAATTAATGATTTATTAAAGGAAGTATTTTATTGCGACGTATCTGCAAGGCATAGGTCATCAGGAAAGTTAAGCTTATGGTTTGAATTCTTCGTAAGTATTTAGTGGATAAAAATTCTATAAGGAATTCTCTAAAAAGTATGTATCTAATTCTTGATAAAATGATACCAAAATATTTTCTCTTTCGTAAAGTAATTCTGGCTTTTGAACAACTGAAGCAAAGAGTTTCCACTTAGATACATGCAATATATATTGTGTTCTTATTGCACAAATCTCTTGATATATTTGCAATTTTTATGTATATATAAAGATATTTGATGCATCAGAAAAATTATCTTGATACTGCACAAATCTCAAGATATATTTAAGTTGAAAACTTCCAAAATTAAATTGGGGACCATCTAAACTCCAATTTCAACAAACTTATTGTTAAATTGAATGTCTCAAAGAGATGAATCCAACAATACAAAAATCGATCCAATCTGAGCCCAAATGGGTCTAAATTGGGAGCCCGAAGCTTATTTGAAAGGTTCAAAGCCTAAATTTAACGACCAAATGATATCCATATATGGAAAGCTTATATTCAAAATCAAGCGGCTCGGTGAGGCGAGTCCAACGAGCCCAAGATTGCTAAATTCAGACATCGTTAAGGCACTTAAACACTTGAAAAATGCTCCATGATCGGGGGATTAATATGGTCCGTCCGATGGGGCACTCCAAATCTGCCCCAGATCGACCATTGCTTGACCACCGCCCCACCCACTAACCACTCCACCTGGCTGCTAATCGTCGTTGAACTACCACTCAGTCGCTAATCATTGCTGGACCTCTACCCGACCATCATCATACAACCTCCCGACCACCGACAGTTGCCGGACTACAATCCAGCCATTGATTGCACCGGACTTCCACCCGACCATCGATCGGCCACCGAAAACAGCCACACTTCCACAAGGCCACTGACTGCTACCAAACTCCTACTTAACCATCTTTGCACCATCGCCTGGCCCTGACAGCCATCAGACTTTAGCACGAACACTATTACACGTCAATTATAATCCCTCTGATCTCCATCTCCAACCGACTACAGTTCCTCTGACCATTGTCACTCACTAAATACTATCCTCCTGATGGTCCATTTGACCAATATTGCTCGTCGACTACTGTCCCTTCGACCACTATCGCCTGCCGACAATCGTCCCTTTGACATCCACCGCTTGCCAACTATAGTTACTTTGTCCACCATCGCCAACCATGTAAGGTCCATCTGACAAATGTCTCCAGTCGACTATAGTCCCTTTTACCTCCGTCTTCTGCTGACTATGATCACTTCGACCTCTAATGACAACCCACTACAGTACCTCCAACCTCCGTCGCCCACCAACTATGGTTAGTTCGAACTCCATCACCTGCTGATTACATTTCATCTAACCTCCGTTGCATGTCAACTACAATCCCTCTGACCTCCATAGCCCACCAACTAAGGTCCCTCCAACTAAATTTGCATGTAACTACAATCACTCTAGCCTCTATCATTCACCCATTACGGTCCCTCCGACTTCTATTGATCGTCGATGACGATCTCTCTGAATATCATGGCCCGCAAACTATGGTTCCTCTGACCTCCGTCTCTCACCAACTAGGTTCCCTCTGACTGTGGTCATCTATTAACTACGGTCTCTTTGACCTTCATCTCCTGCTGACTACAATCACTTTGACCTAAATTGCATGTTGACTACGGTCGCTCTGACCTCCATCGCTCACGAACTATAATACCTCGAACCATCATCACCCACCGACTACAGTCCCTCCGCCCTTGTGGCCCACCAACTATGATCCTTCCAAGCTCCATTGCAAGCCAACTATGATCTATTCGGCCATCATTGCTTGCCAATTGCTATTTGTTTAGCCATCATCGCCCATTGACTATGGTTTCTCTTACTTCTATCGTACACTGATTACGATCCCTAACCTCTATTGTCCTGCCAACCAAATAAACATGCCAACTTTTTCTTGAGAATGACTCCCTTATCATTGGATTCTTTCAATCCCAACTATGTATTGTGTTCTATGATATGAGCTAAGGCCTTTCCACCTAGGAAGGACACCACCTATAATCAACTAAAAACATAAGTGGAGTCATTCCAATTTAACCATGTCACATGGTTTTTTCTCTTTTATTAAATGAAATGAGTTGCTATCTTAATTTGAACCAGAGTTCCCTTAGAAATCTATAACACTTCTATTTAGGAGAGCTGATCAACTGCAGAACTTATTTGTTTAAAATAGTAAACTCTGTCTCACACTGGATGGAATTCCTAATCCCATGAACCAACCTCATAAAAGACTCCTCAATATACTGACATGGAGAATATGTTATAAGAAAACATCCAAAATATGTCAAAATACTTCCCATTTGATCAGGGAGCAACCTTCTCTAGAATTTCTCCTCATGCTAGCCCATCCACTAGCACTCTACCTCTCCATCTAACAAAAAAATTGGTAATGGAATCTTCCGCTTAGGAGGTCAATATATACAATCAAATATCTTCTCCAGTCTCTTCACCCAGTCCTCCACTTCTTTGGGCTCTATCATGTGACATCCCATAATCTAATTTAGAAGAATTCATTATTTTATCTTTTAATAATAATTCCATAGCCATATAACTTTATCTTTCAATAATAAATAGTGAAAATAAATTCTAAAAATTAATGCTTTAGTAGCAGAACCTATAAATAATAAAATAATATAGCATAAAAGATAGTAAAATTGTGCAGTGGAGGAAATAATAAAATTGTATGAGTGTCAAATAGATAATTTACTATTTTTTTACCTCATTTTTGTATGAGGTCATCAGCCACTAGATTAGGCTCCTGATTATACATTTGGGGGTTGACAATTTCCCTATTAATAATCATCCTTCTTCCAACTAGATTTCAATCATACTCAATTAAAATATAGTCACTAACTCGCAATCAGTTGATGCATAGTCAATTGATTTACAGACACCTAGCCTATGCCTAGGTGATTTACAGTCACCTTGCATACATAATTCAGTGTTTACATGTAGTTGTAGTCCTGCATTGCAAATAGTTGATTCAATCACTATCTTGTACAATACAATGGCCTTCATAACCTTTAATTATATATAAACTTGTAATCCATTAGTAAATGTATACATGTAGTTGTAGCCCTATATTGCAGTAAATTAACCTAGTGCATTAACTAGCTTAGTACAATGACATTATTGGCCTCAATCCAGCATACAATCATCAATTAATAAGGCACTCATTCAATAAATACATATATTAACCAATAATTACATATAGTTGCAACCTTACTCTATTGCCATATAGCTCAGTGCACAGGCCCTTTGACCTCAATCATAATTTAGACTACCTCACTAGGAGTTTTATATGTCAGCTCATGTAGCATTGGGTCCCTGAACGAGGGATTGACCAATTTGACCCAATTGGGCTAGCATATGCTAGCCAAATTGATCATATATACCATATACACTATCTATATTGAATCAAACTCTAAATGGAATTTGATCTTCACTAAACTCCACTAAGCATCCTTCCTTGTGAAATGGACTTGATATTGAGATTTTTGCAACTTAATTCTTTATTGTTGATATTCTTGCAATATATTTATTTTTTATG